CCTGCAGCGTATCCCTTCGGGCGGCTGTGGAGGGGACTGCTTTTGGTAACCAGCATGGGAAGATGAGGTCTTGGGTGGAGGCAGTGGCAGTGACGATGAACTTGAAAGAGATTCTGGTGGTAGAATCTACCGTCCGTCATGTCTCCTCCTGAGTGTGTGAGGGGCAGGGCTAGCCAGTGGCCGGGGAATCTGGAGGAGCAGATCTGGTGGCCAAGGGGAGGCTCGGGCCGGGCCCTGTGGATGTGGATACATCTAGTCTCCCTCCCTTCTGCCCAGGAGCTACGAGTGGTGCCCGGAGGCGTGGTTCTGGAATGCAGGAAGCCCAGGCTGTTATGTGGGCATGCAGCCATGGGCCTTGAGGTGGAGAGGCTGCAGGGGAGGGCATGGAGACCGAACAGGGTGAGGCAGGGAAACCCAGAGTCCCCACGAGACAGAGCCAGGGAAAAAACAGGAATGTCGGGGTCACGGAAGGAGGGAGGGAGGCAGGATAGGAGGGTACCTGCAGCAACACCCACTGCTGCCCAGAGCTCAAGTAAGATGCCCCCTCCCAACCATCACCAGTGACCGGGCTGAGGAGGCCAGGAGAGTGGGAAGTACGCCGGGGACAGTCCAGCTGCTTTCAAAGAAGGAATATTGTGAAAATAAAGTTCAACCGGCCTTGGCTGAGCCCCTCCTGGGCCTCTTCTATCTGTTCCCCAAGTAAAATTGAAGGATCACGGAGAGAGTGAGAGGTCAGAGCCAAGGTCAGAGCAAAGGGACACATGGTCCCTGTCCTGGATGTGCTAGGATCTCGCGTGGGGATGCTGGCGGGGAAATAGGGTGTCTCCTGGCCCCAAGGCAGTGTCCAGCAGTGGGGGACACAGGCCGCCTGACAGAGCCCCTGCTCTGCTGTGGTCCCCTCTGCCTTGTTGTTTGCATCTGTGGGCTGGCTCCGAGTCAGGTGTAAAGGAGGGAGAGGCCGCACTGTGTGCGGGTGATCGTGAGCAGCGGGCCTGCTTCCTGGTGCAGCCTGGCCTGTTCTTTCCCTCTTCGTGGGAATGATGGGAAAAGCAAAGCGGAAGCAGGCGCTGGGCACCACGCCAGGGTTTAATGAGGTCTGATTTGGGAGCTGAGTCTCAGTTTTACCGCTAATTAAAGGGTGCCATTTGTCATCTATCTGATGGAAAATTTAAAATTTGTGGAGATAGTAAATGTCTAACTCATTTTTCTTGTTGCTTACATTTAAATTGAAGGATGGAAATACGTACATGAGGATATACTTAAGGGATTGGCTTTAAAAATGGTCTCAAATTCATGACCCAGGTCAAGCAGGGGCCCTTGCCAGCCCTTACACTCTCCCCCCGGGCACTGGCGATCTCCTTGCTTGGGTTTGAAGCTTTTACAGTGTATATAGATACAATTGGAGGGATTCATTAAGGATATCTATTATGGATTACCTAAATCAAATTCAGAATGGTGGGAGGAAGTGACCTGAAACAGCAGTGAGCATCGGTGTGGAAATGCCAGGGGGTTTGAGAAGTTGGCTGGCATCACCAAAATCGAGAACGTTTGCAGTGGATGCTGCTGACACCACGGCCACTTCACTCCCCTGGCGACTACTGTTAGGAACATGGGTCACCAGAATCAAGGAAACATCACTTTTCAGAGGTAAGGGTTTCCTCTTCTCCTAAGAAACCCCCGTGCTTGTGTTCTGTTTGGTTCACTCATCCACACATCTATCTGTATAAAAGCCAAGCGACTGGATCGCTGGAACAACCAGAACAACTGGTCGCTATGATGCGCACTGTGGTGGCCAACCGGCCCATTGAGACCGAACAGGGTGAGCAAGGGAAACCCAGAGTTCTCAAGGCCCCCCCAAACCTTTTGCGGCCCCTCTCCCCACCCAGCCCCCACCTGAATAGACCCCCACCACCACCCTAATTGGAGGCAGGGCTGGACAGCCCTGTCCCCAATAGCCTCCCCTCCCCCCACCAATCATGGGTGGGGCTGGCTGACCTCTCGTGGCACCTCCCTCCCCAGCTGGGCCAGCCTGGCCCTGATAGGCCCAGATAGGGGGTGGGGCCTGTGGCCAACCTCCCATAGCCCCTCCCCCTGGCTGGCCCGGCCCTGATCAGCCCCCATCCGGGTGGGCCGGCCTGACCCCACCTGTGTTTTATGCACTGGGCCTCTAGTGTTTCTATAAAATATGTAACGTCCTCATTTGTTGAATGACCCAATGTAGACAAAACTCAGAGGTTATAAAAATGACCCAGTTAGTGTAATCTGGGGTAATATTATGTGTTAAGTCTATTAACGTTTAAATGTTCTGAATATGAGTAGTTAATGATTCTAGTTATAATCGAACAGTGCCCCCTCCCCACCCCCGACCCAGGTGACAGGAGTTCCCTTTCCTTAGCTTCCGTTTTGGGGGAGGGGCTCACAGACTCACACAGACCATCTCATCTCATGTATGGTGATTCACCCTGACTTTTGCAAGATCATTTGAGGGATGGGCCGTGGTCTCTTCAAGTTGCAGAGCCTGCAGGCAGCTCGTGGGGATCCCATAGATTTTCGTCCTCACTGTGGAGAGGGTGCCAAACCTTACACAACAGCTGCTTCATCCTCTCCTTTTCCTCTTACTAGTCCTCTTCTTTTCTTTTAATTTTTTAATTGACTTTTAGAGAAAGAGAAGGGAGAGGGAGAGAAACATTGACATGTGAGAGACACATTTATCTTCTGCCTCCTGCATGCCCCCTACCGGCATCAGACCCACAGCCCAGGTATGTGCCCTGGCAGGGAATTGGACTGGCAGCCTGCTGGTGCACGGGATGAGGCCCAAACCACCGAGCCACACTGGCCAGGGCCTTTTCCTCGTCTTCTTCCTTCTTACGTCCAAACCTTGTATTGCCCTCCGTTGAGTTTTCTCTACTTTCGTGGCTAACCTGTAGTTTTGAAACAGTCTATTTTAGAACAACATACTTGTAAATAATTTCATTTCTTCCATTTGGGTATGGACATAACAATATGGGGAAAATAGAACAAATGTGAGTCAAGCTAAAAAATGCTACAAGCGATGAGCGTGAATTTACCAAAAGTATTACCAAAAATGCTACCAGTGATAGAACAATAAATAAATGGACAGGATTTTAACACTCACCCTCCGGCTGTACCACCTCTGTACCACCCTGTCCATGTTCGACGGGGTCTCTCAGGTAAAAACGTTCTCCTGGCTGGTGAACTTGCTGTTGCTGGTCTCCAGGAGGAAGGACGGGACATTTATTTGACTTACCTTAGATAGCTTCTCCGATCTCTCTGTGAGGAAATGTCTGCAGAGCTCTCCGGACGCCCAGCCCTGGGAATTCTGACCTGTGTGCTTTTTAATGAGCTTTCAGATCAAAGTCACTCCAGCCCTCCAGCTGCCGAGTGGCTCTGAGGCTGCAGTAAAATAAAATGCATTCGAGTTGATAATCAGAAACCCCCTTTTGCTCTCCTCCCTCCTCCAAAAAGACGCAAATGGGAAATCCCCCCAAACAATCACGATTTTAACTTAATTTACTCCTGGTCTCTGGGATTTGGGTTCACGGGCACGACACATGTGTTGCAGCTGTTGGAATCTGGTCTTAAATTTTTATTTCTGAGTCCACATAATGATTTATAAAATCCTCTAATACACGTCTTCAAAGACCTCAGATCAATACGCCGATGGTTTTGAAATGACAGAGTGCCGCACTGCACCTCTGTAATTTAAACATGATTAGCTGATGAAGGTTATGATCAATACACTACGGGAAGATAAATTAATTGATATCATCCTTTCAGGATGATAAGAGGCCTATTGGAGGTGGGCTGTACCTAATGAGGCTGGCTCTCATCTCTGGGAGCCATTTTTTACATATTGCGTTTTCACTTCATCATATTTATGCCATCATTCATTTACATGGAGGCCATAAGCCCTGGACACACCGATTCCTTATTACAATTGTGTTCACGTGGAGAAGAAATGCGGATGCTGTGCACTCCCTCCTGTGCCGTAACCTCTTGCTGGGGGCAGTGATGAGCTCCTTTGCGTGGGTGTCCGCAAAAAAAAAAAAAAGAAAAGAAAAAAAGAGCAGCTCTCTGGGCAAACACAAGGATTGAATATCATTGAACTTAATTACAGCGCGTCCCCAAAGACACACATCCATTCAAATAAAAGCCGTAGTTATTCTCCTGCAGTGACACCTATGGGTGTAGGAAGAGCTTCCTAATCGTTGACTTCCTTTCCAATTAAATCCAATATGCTTTATCAGCGAGCCTATTTGCCGGGACAAGTTATGGCTGGTTGAATTTAGATTCGTATTGATTAAGATAAACTTCCGATGTGTGTAGCCATATATTTAAATAAAAAGAGGTCTTTGATATAATTACATGTCCTTGAATATAATTCCGCGAGGCAGCTTGCAGAGATGAGTGATTCCTTGGGCTATGCAAAGAAAAAAAAGAAAAAAAAAGAAAAAAAGCAGATTTTTGATTTTTCAAGATTTGGTTACATTGTTCTGTCTTCCTTAAGGTTATTTTTGCCGCAAATAACTGAGGGTGGGGACGGAACCCATTTATTAGAATATTTTAGACAAGATGGGAGTGTCTCTTCCTGTTTTACACTCAAGGTGTCTGAGGTGGTCCATGCAGGGTTCCTCCTGCCTCACACACCACACGCGTGGCTTTTGTCCCTAAGGGACCCCCAAGGCCCACAGCCAACGTGTGCTTTTTAAGCAACAGGAAGGAAAGACATAGGGAAGGCACCATCCAGGGGCAGCTCTCCCAGGAAAGATTCCTGGGGATGGCCACATGCCCCTTCCGTTGTGGGAACTTGTGCTCAGGACCACGCTCAGCTGGGGTGCGGGGTAAGGAGGCGGCTCCGGGGAGTGTCAGGTCCACAACAGTCACCCACCTAACAACCAAGAATTGCTCCGGCCCCCGCCGCCTTCTCTGCCTTTGGGAACCAGCCTCACGTGGACTTCTTTCATCTCCCTGCCCACTAGTTGCCCAGAAGATTGTCGCCACGAGGAAGAAGCAGCAGCTGTCCATAGGACCCTGCAAGTCGCTCCCCAACTCCCCCAGCCACTCCTCCGTCTGCTCCGCGCAGGTGTCCGCCGTGCACATCAGCCAGGTACGTGGGGCGCACGGGAGGTCGGACCCAGAGGCTCGCCTGAGCCATGGAGACCATGTCTGTCCAGGGGTCGTCCACCAGCTGCAAGGTGGTTTTCCTGCTTCTTTTGAACTTTCTGAATAGCAGCAAGTTGGTAACTGGCTTAGCATTTCCCTCGGAAACTGCTGTGGCCACGCGGTTTCTATGGGAAGTGATCTTGACATTTCCCGCCGCGGCCAGCGTGCTGAGGCGAGCTGGCCCAGAGAGGGGGCGCTGTGCTCGCTGTCCTTGCTGTCTTGGCTGTTGATTTAAATTACCGTGTTGGCCCTGGTCGGGTAGGTCAGTTGGTTAGACTAGAGCCGTGGTATGCAAACTGTGGCTCGTGAGCCACATGCGGCTCTTTGGCCCCTTGAATGTGGCTCTTCCACAAAATACCATGGCCTGGGCGAGTCTGTTTTGAAGAGGTGGCATTAGAAGAAGTTTAAGTTTAAAAAATTTGGCTCTCAAAAGAAATTTCAATTGTTGTACTGTTGATATTTGGCTCTGTTGACTAATGAGTTTGCAGACCACTGGGCTAGAGCATTGTCCCAGTACGCCAAGGTTGCATCTTCAATCCCTGGTCAGGACTCATATAGGAATTAACCAATGAATAAGTAAGTGGAACAACCAATCAATGTTTCTCTCTCTCTCTCTCTCTCTCTCTCTCTCTCTCTCTCTCTCTCTCTCTCTCTCTCTCTTCCCTCAACCCCTTCTCTCTCTCAAATCAATCCATTAAAACATTTTCTTAATGACCCTATGTTGGCCTTCCTTCCACCTCGCCTGCCTGCAGGTGGGACAGTTGTGGACGGATCTCGGCAGCGGTCTCCTGTGCACCCAGATTGGGTAGCAGCCCTCCGTGACAATGACCCAGGCCCTGAGGCCCCGGAAACGATCTTTCCCTCGCAGCATTTCTCAATTATTCCCTCAGAAGTAAATGAAATAATTGTCACGAGGAAGAACCTAACCAAAACCCCTTAAGAGAGCGTGGCTTGTTTTTCCTGCGCTCACGGTTCTGATGGGTGTTTCCTGGACAGGGTTAGTCACATGGCACCTGTCAGAGGGTGCAGCGAGAAGGCTTCCAGCTTCCTGGGGAGATAGGAAGTGACCACTTCTGCAGTCAGGCCTGTAGCGATTCTGTCGCAAATGTTCAGTCCTTCACTGTAGGCACCTTTAGTTTTTCTATGGATCTTGAAGTGTCTCCCAAAAGGTGTCACATTTTCATGATGTCATCTTCAAACTGTGAGTGGTGGGCAAAATGTTGCTTCCTGCGTGGAGCCTAGAGCAGTGAAGGAACCAGAGACCCCACGGAGTTCCACCAGTGCCTTCCTTTTCAGCAGGAAGAGAAAGTGATGACATTTCCCTTTTAGATTTTTATTTATTTTATTTTATTTATTATTTTTTAATATGTTTTATTGATTTTTCACAGAGGAAGAGAGAGGGATAGAGAATTAGAAACATCGATGAGAGACAATCATTAATCAGCTGCCTCTTGCACACCCCTTACTGGGGATGTGCCCACAACCAAGGTACATGCCCTTGACCGGAATAGAACCAGAGACCTTTCAGTCTGCAGGCCAACGCTCTATCCACTGAGCCAAACCGGTTTCAGCCCCTTTCAGATTTTTAAAAATTAAGTGATAGAGGCCTGTTTTTCTTGTCACTTCTTAGACAAAGGACTCCATGGCCTGGTGGGTGTGTCCCGGAAGGAAACCGCCTGTGCCTGATGCCGACACGGGCTGCCCAGCGAGGCGCCCCCAGCCTGGCGCGGGCGTCTGCGGGGTGACCTGCTGACTTGTTTGTGAGGACCCTGCCCAGGAGGTGGCGTTCGGTTTCTGGAGCGTGTCCTTAACCAAACCTTGGTTTTGAATCGTTGCAGACGAGTAACGGAGGCGGGAGTTTGAGCGACTACTCCTCCTCCGTCCCGTCGACGCCCAGCACCAGCCAGAAGGAGCTGCGGATCGACGTCCCTCCCACTGCCAACACCCCGACGCCCGTCCGGAAGCAGTCCAAGCGCCGCTCCAACCTTTTCACCGTGAGTGCGGCTTCAGAGATTCCCATTAGGTGTCTGCCCACCAGGTGGTTCCGTGACGTCTGTGGAATCCAAACTAAAGCACTGGGTCTAACATTGGTTTACCAGGAAGTCTGAGAAAATTATGGGATGCACAGATTTAGATATTGAGCAAAATGGGAATTTCTTGGTGTGCAGGTAGTTCTGATCCATGTGTCAGAATGAAGGGTGAGCTTGGGCCCTGGCTGGTGTGGCTTCTTCAGTTGGAGTGTTATCCTGGACACCGCAGGGTTATAGGTTCAGTCCCTGGTCAGTCAGGGTGTGAACAGAAGATAGTGTTCTCTCTCAAGTTGAGATCTGCCCCCACCTCTCTCTCCCCTTCTCTCCTTCTCTCCTTCTCCATCCTTCCTCCCTCCCCTCCCTTTCCGTCTCTCTAAAATCAATAAGAATATTTTTAAAAAGAAAAGGGAGATTTGTGTAAAGATTACCTGTGATCCTGTGACTCTCTTGGTCTCTAGCTAGAGACTGGTCACGTTGGGATATGACAAAACTGCCCAGATCCACTGGCCTCTCCGGTGAGATAGAAAAGCCACCCCAGCCCGCATACCCCTCCTCGGCCTGCGTGCCCTTGGACTCGCCTCTCCTGGGGTGGAGGCCAGTGGCCATGAGGCTGTCCACCTGGGCCTTTGTTCAGGTCCTTGTGGAGCCTTTGAAAACTAGCTCAGCTCAGGCGCTGAGGCTTCGGAAGGCGGACTCCGTGCTGGTGTAGCTTTCAGGAGCTCCCGGGGTGGACAGGGTGCAAGGACCCCCCTAACTGCCGAAGCACTCCTCCCCGGCCCTCCACACACCCAGCGACGGCACCCATCCGTCGGGCCTGTGAGCCGGTCCCGGGGCTGGTCTGTGCATGCGTGACATGTGCTTATCCCCCATGCTCCCCAGCCGGCCGGCTTTGCTCCCCGGGATGTTGGGAATTCCTGGGGAAATTTTGAGTTGTCACCGCATGGGGGCTGGGACAGGGTTCCACGCTGCAGGCAGCTGCTCATGGGTGTGGTGGCGACCAGAATGCGGCCAAACGGCCTCCGCCCCGCAGGCCGCCCACAGCCAAGGGGCCGGCCGGCTCCGGTGTCCACGGTGCCCTGCTGAACGGTCTGACCTCCTTTGATTGGTGTCTGGTGGCTTGGGTGCAGAGAAGTCCAACATGCAGGGTTCCCGGTCTCGAGCTAAAGGAGGACTCTGCTGGGGCGGCTGAGGCATGTGGGCCTGTGTGGAGGCGGCATTGTGTGTGACCCATCCCCCCTGCCCATGTGGGCAGTGCTTTTCCCACTGGACAGTGGGAACAGCACACACCTTTTCTTTGCTGTGCCCTGTGCCATGTGAGTTCTGATAGACGCTGCTGCGGAGAGACAGAGGGGACCAGGCAGAGCGGGCTCGGATGTCAGCTGTTTGACCTTGAGCAGGTTACTTCACCTCTCTGAGTGGGAGTCAGCAGTAGTTGTGGGTGTGGGTCTGCTGGGAAGATGCAGAGACTTCGGGCATTGCTTTTACTTTTTTTTTCTCACGGCACTGACATCATGAAGTGACTTCTGAGAGTGGAAAGCAGAAGTGGTTGTAGGACAACGAGGGGGGTGGCTAGGTGTCGGCAAAAAACAGGTGACTGAGATGTGTCACTGTGAGTGCATGAGTGAGCGGTTTCGTGTGAACTTCAGGCAGCCCTGCCGGCTCTGTCGTGCACCCACAGCACTGCCGACGCCAAGGTCGAGGACTTGGGGCTGAGAAGGAGCCACCATACGGACAGGCTGTGCCTCGCTCAGGGCTCCGTGGACTAGAGGAACCTCACTTGCTGAAGATGTGGAGAAGGTGGGCTTTGGGTGTGGACCAGAGCGTCTGCTGCACTCCTTCCTCCCCTGAGGGCAGGGCTGGAGGAGAGACCGTGCCCCCAGCTCAGGAGAGTGTCCAGGGGCTGCGTTTCCTGGCTGCCGGCTTTAGTGTCTGTTCTCAGAAGGAGGAGGAGCCGGGCAGGATCTTTGAAAACCGGGCTGTATAAGGAGAGCTCCAGCAGCCCCGTCCCCACGGGTGAAGGGTGGCCCTGGAATGTACCTGAACATGGTATCCCGGACCCTGTCCACGGGGGAACTGACAGAGGAGGAAACCTGGGGGCAGGAAGATAATTGTAACGCCAGGAATGAAAAGTTAATAATAGTGTCTCAATAAATGAGTATTTCCTTACCCTGTGCTGTCGGCAAAGCCTGCTGGTGCTGGGGTCTGCAGAGTCTGCTCACATTCGATAAAAAGTGGTTTAGAGAGAATCAGGGGCGGGGGTGGGGGGCCCTCAGGGAGAGTCCATGACACGCTACACACATGTGGGCCCTGCACACTGGCACCCTGGGCGGGCCAGGTGCCCCAGGTGCCAGAGCCCATGAAAACGCCTGCTCACCTTGGCGGGAAGTCTCCCGTCACTAGGTCACAGGGGAAGATTCTGCAGAGGTCTGACCCTGAAACTGTGCTTCGTCATAGCTATTCCCTTCCTCGCTAAACGCTGGGAAGCCGTTTGCTTGTAACCATCAGACACAGAACCCAGCCACACAGGGTGGTTCACAGGCACAGGAGCCGGAGTCAGAGAGGAACGGTGATGGCCTTGCCTCGTGGCACTTAAGGAAGCAGCTGGCATCCCAGGTTTGATGTTGGACAGAGCCATGGCGATGATGGTGATGGTGACAGCGATGTGTCGGTATCTTTAAGGTGAAGAGCTTAGAAATATTAACTCCACTAGATGTCAGTGTCATCCAGGGAATGAAAAGGAGGCAAATTATTCTGAAACCGCAGCAGTTAAGTCACTAAACTCATTGTTACCAGTTTTCACCTGTTCATAAACATGTGAAATCTCAGAGACTGTTCTTCCCTGATAATTGTTGGTAATTATTGGCCTAAATTGGCCACACAAAAAAAATGTGTTTACATGACAGTGTGTAATAGAACGGATGTGCCATATGCTGAACACTCTTTGCAAAAAGCCCTGCAGGCCGGGAGGGCAGTTCCCAAGAAGGGATGCTGTCCACCTTTATTGGAGCGTTGGGAAGAGGCCGAGGGGATGGAGTGGTGCAGACATCATTCCACAGACACCATGCTTATAAATTTGACGGCGCGGACCTGTCATGCATCATGCTGAACTCAATGGTTCTGTTTGCATAGATACACCATTTTAAATGAAAATTAATCACATGCCCTTTTTACAAAATAGCGGAAACTAAAAACCTTTGCTGTGGTAGGAGATTGTGTCTTTCGTTTGTGGTCGGAATTGTACTTTACTAATCAAAAACTAAATCATATATTACTTTGCTTAATTTAAAAAAAAAATTATTGTTTTGAGAAAAGGAAGGTCAAAAAAGCTACAGCCATTCAATTCCTGGTTCTGTCTTAGGGGATCTTAGTACAGTTAGGGTAACGAAGTAGCCCTGATGTGTGTGTGTGTGGGTGAGACGTTTTATTAGCGAGTATGTTGAGGCATGTAGGAATGGAAAGTGAACGCGCGCGTGTGCACACACACACACACACACACACACACACACTCACTCACCGTGCTGTGTGCTCCTCCATGGCCAGCTGCAGCTTCAAGAAGTAAACAGGCCGTGAAAGTCGCAGCCCCCACTCTGCTTGCATTCCCGCCTCGCTGTCCAGGGAACAGCCCGCCTTGAACTTGGTGTTTGCTGTCTGAACAAATGCTTTCCTCTCACTTGACTGTGTCTGTCATTGGACATGGCATTGCTTTGCCTCTCTTCGAGCATTGTAACAGCGGTGTTACGTGGTGTTTTTTAAAGCTCCCTGTATCGTGCCAACACCGTTACACAGAGCCTTGCTTGCCCTGTGACCAAAGATGGTGAGGACATACTACCCGGCTCATAGAAACAGGCTAAGCCTTCACTCTGGGCGTGTTGCCGGCCCTCTGTGGTGGGTGCGTAAACTCCCGTTAGGTTTCTAGTTGTGCGTGTCGGGCAGACGCGCCGCAGTCACTCCCAGCACAGGCGGCGGGGACCAGCGCTGTGCATAGCTGACGATTTCACGGAGCCATTTCAGCAGGAACACAGGCCGTGCTCCTGGGGCTGTCGTCCCCGAGTTGGCGGCAAACCCGGGGACCGTCCTGGGTGTGTGTGTGGGGGGGGGGGGGGGGGGGGCAGTGCTTCTGTTCAGCGGGTCTGTGTTCGTTTAGTGGTCGGGCTTGTGCTCAGCATGCTGCAGCAAACGTAATCATGGGCTGAGATTCAGCAGACCACTTGCCACCACTCTCCTGGAAACGTTAGTTTTAGGACTCCCTCCAATGCTAGTTGGTGGGGATTCATCGCCCGCTGTGTGTTGGCCGTGCTTCCCTCGCACGCGTCCCGGAGAGTGGGATCAAACACGGACTGAGTGCATCTCCTCAGTCCCGCCTCCCGGAACCCGAGCGTCCTGCTCCGAGCGACGGGGGCAGATGTGCTGCCTCGAGGGAGACGTTCGCGTGTTCCTGTTTGTTTTGTTAATCATTCTGGTTAATCGTGAGTAATGAAGATGGATTCCCGAATTTATAAACTTCCCTGAGCAACTTTCATGATCTCTGTGGATTTAAATTTCAAAAAAATTATCCCTGTGAGCATTGAGTCTTATTTTTCATAACAGGAGACTTTGAGTTCCAGCTTCCCCGTGAATTGAGGTTTGGGAAGAAGAGAATGTAGGATTATTGCATGGCTCTTGCTGCACATTATTAATTAGAGAAAAGTGAGTCCCTAACCCCTAGCTAAAATTCATGGCAAGGAACTGATAAATAGCTCCGTTTCCTTTCTTGCCCACTGGGATAAGCCTTCCGTTTCAGGTTCTCCTGCAGCTTTCTGTGTGTTTCTTGTTTCATTTCCTGTCGTGTCATTCCGGCTTCGACCGACCCAGGAAGACAGGCGCGCAGTGTGTGTTCCCTGGGTGGTCGTCCGGAGGCACACTCTGATGAGCACCTGTGGCCCTGGGAGCCCCACCTTCTCCTACGTCCCATGGCAGCGCCCCTGACGCAGAACCAGCACCCCCCCCACGCTCCCCTTTGAAAGCATGTGCCTTCCCCTTGTCACGGCGGCACCGGTCACCACCGCGCCTGCTCATTTCATACATCATCTCAGATTTGAAAAGCACACGAAAATGTTTCTCCATTTTCAATATTGCGTGAGTAATGTTCCCATTGAAAAGTAATGGAGTGAAGTTGTCACTTGTCAGCACAGTTATTAAGGAGGACGAGTCTCAGATCTTTCTCTCATAATGAAATAAATCTGTCAGGGAACCACTGCGCTCCGACTTCCCAGTGCGGCCGAGAGCTGGAGACGTCGCCGAGGAGGCGGTCCCCAGTGTCCCCAGGTCCCGAGCGCTTCAGGTGCGGCCCCCGGATTGGGCACCACCAGTCTGCCCTCCCGCTGGTCGCTAGCTCCCAGCTCCCAGGCTGTTTACCCCACGGTGGGAAACTGCCCCCGGAGCTTGGCAAACCAAGCTGCTCGTTTCCCCCCAAGTACTGATGTCTCATCAAAAAGATATTTTCAACTTCCCATTTTTTTGGGGGGGAGGGAGGATTATACACGAGTTTGACTTTGAATTTGCTGTTTCCTAACCATGCCGAGGCAATAAAAAGCATCACCGACACCTCGATACGAATCGAGCATGCACCATCACATCGCACAGCTGAGCCGTTAATAGAATTTTTTTTAATGCTTCCGACGTTAATTAAATGTGTGCGTTTATGTCGCGGGGCTCCCCAACAAGCAGCCAGGAGCCCTTGCCTCCCCGGCTGGATCAGCGGCGGCTTCGGAATGTGTTTCTCCTGTTGGGCGTTACTTTCCTATATGGTCCATTGGTTTCTAGTAATTGAATTTTGAACTCTTTAAAAAAGAATTAAAAGATAATTTTGCAGGGGGAAAAGTTTGCAAAACTCTCCCTGAGATGACACATCCTCGGAGACGAAAGAACCCACAGCAGCCTGCTTCTGAGGCGTGCATGCTGGTGTCTGCGTGCCTACCCCTTCCCCTCCCTGGCCTCCAAACACACATTTGCAGAAAGTGCATCCTTCAGGGCAGCCCCGTTGCCATCTGTGAGCCGCAGCCCTGGCCAGACGCTAACTTTTATTTTCGTTTTTGCAGTCTCGGAAAGGGAGTGACCCAGACAAAGAGAAGAAAGGCCTGGAGAGCCGCGCGGACAGCATCGGGAGCGGCCGAGCCATCCCAATTAAACAGGTACGCCGCCGCCCGCCCTCCCCTCCCCGCTGCGGGGACACACCTCCGTCCCTCCCGGCCCTGACGCTGGCGCGCACCGCCGAGGTCTGTTTGATGTGCTCCGCTGATGAATGTGGAAGCCACTCACTTGACATCAATTAGAAGAGGTTCCTGTGCGTATTAAAATGGGATCATTAGAATGAGAAGAGGGAGAAATGTGACAACAGGCCTAATGAAGTGCGGTCTGCCCGCCCGCATATGGAGCGCGTCCCGGCCGCGCTGGCTTCAAAGGCCGCCTTTGTAGCCGGGCTTTGATGGGGCTGCTGGCCGGCCGCCGGCCGACGGGGGTAAATCAGATCTCCGCACAGGAGCCCCCTGTGAGCCCGGGAATAGCCCGACGTGGCCCTAATTTGCTCTCGCAGACGGACATCTGAACACCGTTTCAGGCTAGTTTGTAACAACGAGGCAATTAGTTGTGATAATCATAGCCGGTGTGTCAGCTGTGCGCTCTTGTTTGTAATTTGCTAATGAAGGAATTGTAACTTTGATTAGGTTCGGTTTCATTTAGACCTTATTATATAAAGGAACATTTACAGCTGTAATGGGGGGCCTTAATTAAACTTCCTCATTACACCGGAGGACTGAATGCGAGCATTTGTTTTGGCCCAGGTTGCTAGCCTGGGTAGGTTTTCATTAGCCCAGAAACCAGACACCAAATTGCTTTATGTCGCAAGCAGAACGGGGCCTTCCCGGAGCATCGTTTGCTGCTGTATTTCCAAGGAAAATGAGTTTAACCCGGTACCGTGGCTTCCGGAAATGCCATCTTTTAGTTGGTTAAAGAAGGCCAGTTGGTTTTCAGTGCATTCTGCCTGAACGAGGGAAACCCGTGGGCAGCATGTCGGCTCTGCCTCTTGTGCGTGGGCTTTGCTGTGACCGCGATGACCCTCTGGGTGGCCGGTCTCCGCCAACCCTTTCCGCATGCCTTTTGGCGCGTCTCCGCAGCTGTAGGAGCCTGTGTTGGCACTGGCCACCCTTAAAGGGCCGCGCCTTTGGGAATGTAGCCGTAACTGCTGTGTTTGAGGAACAGGTTAGATTGTGGGGGGGGGGGGGGGGGGTTAGTTAGCACAGTGTCATGGTGGGACCAGAGCAGGGAGGCCACAGGGTTCTTTACGAGACACGTTCACAGACTGGCCGACAACGGTGTGGACCGCTACGGGGCCCCATTAAGAAAAACCCGCTTCCGTCCCCTTTGCTGGCTGGTGTGTTCTCTCTCTCGGTTCCCTCCATGGGGAGGTGCAGGCACACTTACTCTTTTCTCTGTGTGTTCGTTTATCAACCCAGCTCTCCGCATGACGTAACGGTAATGTGTGATTTTTATGCTGCTGATACTGTTTTAGCTAGAATTATAAAAAACCTTCTGCTCTCTTACTCTCATTTAGTAATTGGTTCTGGGGACATTAGAGCTTAATACTAGATGTTCCCTTCGTTCACGCCTGCTGTCCCCGGGGGCGGCTGCTCAGGCCAGGCGGGTCCTGGCTCCCAGAGCCACTCAGTGGGGCCTGCTCCTCGGAGGCTCGGGGTCCAGTCTGTGTGAGGAAGGACGTCAACCATGAAGTGTAAACCGAGCCAATCCGTGGAAGCCTTTTAATTGCGAATGTTCAAAATAACCTTGTGGACATCTAAGTCAGGTCTGCATTCCCGGTGAGTCGTGCACAGGATTCCTTGTTTCTTGCAGCCATCATCCTCCTTCTTCCTCCCCTAACCCCCCACACACTCCGCCCACGTGCTGTGTCCACGGGTGAGCTCGTCCTGGAAACCCACGCCTGATAGGACGTCCAGCCTCAGGACTCGCATCTATGACAGGGGGCGCTGGACCACATCCAAGGCCCTTGGAACACTGGCAGGTGGAGATTCCAGGGAGAATTTTTTAATTCCACCAAATCTGGATCTTCGAATCATCATGCTTGGCACCTGCCGGCGCCTCGTGTGTAAAAAAGCAACCTCGTGTGTAACATGTGACCCTGACCTCGGACAGAACGCCTGTGCTTGCCATAGGAGAAACTTCTCAGACTGCACCTGCAGGGCCTGGTTTTTCCAGGGACAGCACAGGGGCGCTCGTAGCTCTAGAGGAAGCAGCCATTCTCCCATTGGGAAGCTTCTGCCATAGGTATGCTCCGTCTTCACCAGAAGCACGGCGCTTTGTCTCCACACTCAGCCCTCGCTCCAGCCCTGCCCTGCGTGCTGGGCACCCCCCCCCCCCACACACACACACACACGTGCCCATGGGAACCTCCACGACCTTCTTGGTGCCATCATGGTGCTGGCTGGGGCAGGCCAGCGTTTGATGGGGCAGTCTTTGTGCTCCTTCCCTCAGGGACCTTGTACAGATGGGTTGGGACAGACTGTCTGGAGCACGCTCCCACCTGACTCATCCTACAGACGGTCCGTGTTCTGGTGAATGACATCACTCAGGCCTCAGCCTGTTCACTGTGCGAACGGAGGCTCTTCCCCAGGTGGGAGCCAGCAGGGTCACGGCCGGCAGGGATCTCCTCTCTCCCTGGTTCCCCGGGAAGGGCTGCTCATCAACAATATGACTTGTTTTCTGCAAAATAACTTCATTTCCTGAGGACCCAGGCCCACCTCCCCCCTTTTTTTTGTCCTTCCTGAGGCCTTGGAGGAGATTTGGTTCAGAGAGCATCTTCTTTCTTTCCTAATAGGATAAGTCTACTGGAATAGAAATTAAAAAGCAAAGCAAGGAAAAGAGAAAGCCAGAGGCCCAGCTCGGTGGCGAGTGGCCTGTCACGTATGAATTTTTCATTGCTGTGGAGAGTTGTACATACATAATCACTTGATTGCAGTGGGAGTTGGGGAGCTCCTATGGTGTCATTTGCATAAATCTTGTTAAGTCAATGGCAGTTAATGAAGTACAAATGAGCCCGGAGAAGGTGACATGCAAATCATGGGTGGCAGATGGGAGGTCTGTTTGGGGGACGGCAGCTGTGTGCTCTCCTTTCTTTCCTTCCCTTTCGCATTTTTTAATCTCTATATTATAGGACAGATCCGCAGCCTGGGCCCTGGCCTCACCCCCTACCCCGCAGACTCCCGGCCAGAGCCAGGCCCCGTGACGCTTGCTCCCTCCTCCCCTCCTTTCGAAAAACAGACCCAGCAGCCTCGCCTCCCCTCGCCCACACTTACTAACTTGCGCTCCGGTGTATTTGCATTTCTAAGATCTCGATCAGTGTGTCTTGTCATGCTTACACAAGGGAAAAAAACAATCCATAGTTCGATTTGCTGGGGACCAGTAAAACACCACTGAATCTTGAGGCAGGGTGTTATCTCGTGAGACTTGAGTGAAAATGAGTAAAAAAGGGCTCTTTGCTTTATTTCTTTAAATACATTTTTATTGATTTCAGAGAGAAAGGAGAGGGAGAGATAGTTAGAAATATCAATGATGAGAGGGGATCACTGATCAGCTGCCTCCTGTATGCCCACAACCCGGGCATGTGCCCTGACCTGGAATCCAACGTGACCTCCTGGTTCATCAGTCCACGCTCAGTCACTGAGCCAAGCTGGCCAGGCTCTTTGCTTTATTATGTGTCTGTTGTTTTGTTTCTATTTGGGAGCCTGTTGTTCCTTAAGACAAGCCGCGTTCCTCCTCAGGCCATGCGGGGTAGTCCTGCCCGGGCTGGGTGTGGAGGGGATACGGGAAGGCCTGGGGCCACCTAAGAAGGAGGCTGCAGGGAAGACCCTCCCGAGTGCAGCCCCCCACAGGGGCCCCACAGGCCTCATCAGCACGGCCAGTGGGTCCCGTCCCCGGCAGCTTGTTTTTTAAAGATTTAAGTGCTCACGGGACTCAGAGAACTTTGAGAGATTTATGGACAAAACACTGTATCGGCTTACTGCTTTTGGAAATTTTTAAAATTCATGATCTGGTCGGTAATTCCAGAGAAGCGTGTCTGCGTTGCCTCTGACAGGTTCAGGTGAAGAGGTGTGGGTGGCCAGACTTGAGCTGGGCTGTCAACCAGGATGGTCATGCAGGTCACCCGCTCTTTGGCTCTGGCTTTGCCGCCTCAAGCCAGGGGGTACTTCCTGGGTCCTGGGCCTCGCGGTTCTGTGGGGACCTGGTGAGCATCTCATGTTCATGATGCCCCACGATGGAGCACCCACCGGCTTCCCGAGGTTCGTCAGATCTTAATTTTGACCTTAAACCCGGATGTTGTGGCCACCTCCAGGGACGTCCACAAGAGCAAAGGTTTCTCACAGCCGCCTGCATCCCGGGAAAGCCCTTCCCAGGCCGGAGGAAGAGCCGCGGGCGGAGCTTCCCCGAAGCCCTCACCCCCGCCCTCCAGCAAACGGTTTGGAAGTTGTGCGCCGTTTTTGATTCTCAGTTGAGCAGAAAGAAGCAATTGTCAATTATGTGAAAGGAACCTCTGGAGTTAATCCCCTCAGCTGCCTGCCGCAGGCTGCTGACCTGCTCTGTCTGGAACCTTGGCTCAAGGCGAGGGCTGGATTGTGAGAAAAGCCACCTAATGACACTCATTCGAACGTCTCCTGGAAGTTTGACGCTGCTCACAGCCGGTTGGTCAACTGCTCAATGTCATATGCTTTTAGATTGGAATGCCCAGCCGAAACTTGGAGACAGGGAGAGATAAGGAGAGAAAATGCTGCGCCTTCTGCCCCTGCATATGTGGAGGGAGCATGGTGAGGGAGCACAGAGGAACCAAGTTGAGCAGAAGGCACCTGGGAATAGGCTGTCCGCCCATGTGGCAGATCAGCTCTGTCCGGGCACCGGGGCCCATGTAGAGCCTCAGAAGCAGGTAATTTGCTGACGTGGCCCCCAGTACCCCGAGAGCTCATTTGCCTCACTTGGGTGAGCAACTCCCTGAGAGCATTGCGACCAGCCTGGTGCAGGCCAGACGCTCGGCCAATCACGGTTATTAATTGAATGGGTCAGGTGGGTGCCTCACAAGCCTTTAATTCGATTTCTCAAATCTCCTAAGGTCGTCGGCAAACAGTGGAGG